GGAAGTAACCTTGGATCAAGTTGCTATCTTCATAGGAGGATAACTGCAGGAAAAAGGGGCTTAGCTGGGAGCTGGCAACCATCAGCTCTTCCAGCAGATTTAGTCTGGGTTGGGTATGTTGAAGAATGAGTGCTTCAGGCCTGAGACGAGGGTCTGGATCTGGGCAGCACACCACAGTGTCCCCTACAAAGAGCTTTTAAATTGTATTTTAATAGCAAGAGAAATAGAGCCATTTAAAAACAATTGCTCAGGAGAAAATGGTAACACCTTTTGTATTCCTTTGTCCAGAGACGTAGTAGCTTGTCCTGGGGAAGTTTCCCCACTTGACGACCCAGACCTCCCACAAAACAAATAAAAACCTGGGAGTGGCTTGGTTAATGAAATTACTGATAAGGGGTCAATTGGCTTCTTACCCTCCTGTAACCTACCCAACCCAGACAAAAATAGGTGCGTGCGGGTGTGGACTCCAGGCTGCCCCACAGCAGAACAGGCAGGCGTAACCCCAACAAATAAATCAAGGCCTGTGTGCCTCTGCTTTGAGGCCTGTAGCCGTGTGGATCCCGCACAAATCAGAAACATGAACCTCCCAAGACCTTGAAAAATAATTTATGTCTTTATGAAGCCTCGTGAAGAGGAAGTCTTATCATATTTAATAATAAAAAATTATACTTTGAAAAATCCTACTTGGACACTTCATTCCTGAGTTCCCTCCATCAGAGCTGCTGCTCTCTGAATCTCTCTTATCTACTGCTGGCAAAACCCTAAAAGACCCTTTCTTCTACCTTCTGAATGCATTCCTTTTCTTCACAAGTATATATGCAACTAATTTTTTGTGTGTAGAGGAAGTTTGTCTTTCTCTGCACTTTTCAATTCTCCTTCCCTTATAATAAACAGCACACGAAGGGTAGGCAAACACAGACTCCTTAATAGAGTGGGGTGTGGGAGGAGGGTAAAATTTGAGCCTGTCACACTTGAATTGGTATATATATTTTTAATCCTATATTTGACAGTGGCACACTTCACCAGGTGAGAACCTAATAATAAATTTAAATGTTTGAATTGCCCCTTCTTTGCAGCTGCTGTCTCATTCTTATGATCTCCCACCCCATCCTCAGTCTCCTCATTGATTATTAAAGTGTTCCCATGGTGCTTTGTCTGCAATAGATCTGGCTGCTTTCCATTCTTCCTTTTTTTTTTTTTCTTTTGAGACGGAGTTTCACTTTTGTTGCCTAGGCTGGAGTGCAATAGCGAGATCGCAGTTCACTGCAACCTCTGCCTCCTGGGTTCAAGTGATTCTCCTGCTTCAGCCTCCCAAGTAGCTGAGATTACAGGCATGTGCCACCACAAAGCTGGTATTACAGGTATGTGCCACCACACCTGGCTAATTTTGTATTTTTAGTAGAGATGATGTTTCTCCATGTTAGTCAGGCTGGTCTCGAACTCCCAACCTCAGATGATCCCCCCCCCCGGCCACCTCGGCCTCCCAAAGTGCTGGTAGGCATGAGCCACCATGCTTGGCTCAACTCTTCCTTTGAAAGAATGCTTGTCAACCTGCCCTATACACATAATGTATATACATAAGTCTTTATGTATATACATAAACATAATTTTGCATCTTATTTCAGCGAGTTCATGGACCCCTGGATAAGCTCCAGTTAAAGACCACTTATTTAGTTTTCTTGCCTAACTAGCTCTCATTTCCTGAAATTCTGATGCCAAAATTTTATTTAAATTTTTGAGGCAGAGTCTCGCTCTGTCTCACAGGCTGGAGTGCAATGCAAGATCTCAGCTCACTGCAACCTCCTCCTCCCAGGTTCAAGCGATCCTCCCACCTCAGCCTCTTAAGTAGTTGGGATTACAAGCATGCGCTATCACTCCTGGCTAATTTTTGTATTTTTAGTAGAGACGATGTTTCACCATGTTGGCCAGGCTGGTCTCAAACTCCTGACTTCAGTGATCCACCCACCTCGCCTCTCAAAGTGCTAGGATTACAGGCATGAGTGACTGCACCTGGCCTTTGATGCCAAAATTTTAGCTAACCTAATACACACTTAGATGTCTGCAATAGGATGCAAAATCATTTTTGGTCTTTATTGGCAAGGGAATAGTCTTTATAAATTGCATAAAGCATATATAGATTGTGTACTAGAGAGCCAACATTTTTATTTATTCATTTGTTCATTTGTCAATTACTCATTCATTTTACAAATATTTGTTTAGGCACTACTATTTTGGAGTAATATGTTTATGTAAAGTCAACCTCCAACTTTTAAAATCAAACCAGTTAATGGGACGAACCGATATGTAAATAGACAGTTAACAATAGTGTGCTGTGGCTGAGGGTGCTGAGGGAGCCTTGGACAAAGAGACAGGTGAGGGGAGGGTGGTGTGGAGAGGGCACCTAATTCAGCCTGGGAGTTGGGTGGGCTGAGATTGATTTCAGGCAGAGCTTCTAGGAGAAGATGACACATCAACTGTAACTTGGGGGTATTCTTAGAGTTTTCAGAAGGCAAGAGTGGGAGAAAGATAATCTCTCTAGAAGGAGTAGTACTTCCAAAGAGCCAGAGACAGAAGAGAGCATGGTGCATTGGAAAGCTTGTCATTGGTTTGCTTCGGCTGAAATGGAGTACGGATATGGAGACATGGCAGTTAGCTGAAGCAATGGCCAGTTCACACAGGGTGTGAAATGCTAGTTGGAGGAACTTCCTCTTTATCTCAATGGGGTGTGGAACCTCTGAAAGCTATTTAGCAAGGCATGATGTAATCAGATTTGCATGCAGCATGGTGAGGTACAGTGGTAATCACACCCACACGTGGGATTATTTCTATATACATTGCATTTAAAATTGGAAAATAATAAAGAATTAAAATTGTGAATGACTTGCTTTTCATAAATTAAAATAAGTACCAGGCTGTGCCTTTAATAACAGCACTCTCAGCTACCTGCCCTTTTTTTTTTTTTGAGATGGAGTTTCACTCTTTTTGCCCAGGCTGGAGTGCAATGACGTGATCTTGGCTCACCACAACCTCTGCCTCCCAGGTTCAAGCAGTTCTCCTGCCTCAGCCTCCTGAGTAGCTGGGATTACAGGTGTGTGCTACCACGCCAAGCTAATTTTGTATTTTTAGTGGGGACAAGGTTTCTTCATGTTGGTCAGGCTGGTCTTGGACTCCTGACCTCAGGTGATCCACCCGCATCCGCCTCCCAAAGTGCTGAGATTACAGGCATGAGCCACTGCGCCCGGCTCAGCTACCTGCTTTTAAACATTATTTTGAATGGAGTTAATAGCAGAGCTGAGGAAATAGCACATATAACTCACATCCCAGCTTATCTATGTCCTAGCTCTTAGAGAAGAATGCTATATAACCTCTAATACCAATGGAGATTAAAATATTATAGTTTTTCTTCATAATTTTATATTTATTTCCAATTTCTCTTTATTTTTCCCAATAATTACATTTTTAGTTTAAAAAGGAGAAAAAATATAAAGGAAGAAAACATTAATAGGACATCTATATCATTAAATGAATATTTTACTTACTTACATGTTTATAATATGTTTTTATGAATATAATACCCCTTCCCTGAGTAGTCTGTGGTCTCTGTTTTACTTTCCAGCTAAATTTTAGAAAACTGCATCAGAATTTAAGTCAAGAGAGTGAGTAATGCATGTGAATGTTATCTGTTATTGATGTATTGCAACAGGAAAAAATAAAATCTAAATGACTGGGTAACTCAATGTTTATTTCAACCTCCTTTGAGTATGCCTTCCCATACTGCAAAATTGGAAAGCCAAATACTACATTTTTTAAATTCCTCCAGCTGGGGTTTCTAAGGATATGATTTAGGTTGTAACGATTAGACACACTGATATAAGACTCCAATTTCAGAGTTGAGCAAGTGGGGGATAGGGCAAGGCGGGTGGTGCAGGAAGCATCTATTCTGTGGAGCACAGCAACTCTGGATTGTGAGTTTGCTAGCTCAGCGGATACTCCCTAATTGCGGCAGAAGCAGCAACTCCCCTGGCAACTCAGTTCTGAGTGTGACTTTGTTCCTAGTAATTCAGTCTCAAATCCACTCCTTCAGCTCTCCCACCGATTCTGTAAGCCAATTAATACCTTGCAATAATCCTTTTAGCTTAAACCAGCGAAGGCGGAACCTGCACCTGAACCATGACCAATGTAGTCAGAGAAACCTAAGCCTTTGAGAAAAAGCTGAGAAGGAGAAGCCACAAAAGTAGCAGTAAAACCAGGACAGGCTCCTGCCCTGAAATCAAGGCAAAAGAAAGTTTCAGTAAGCAATGAAACACTGCAGAGAGGCCAAGACAGCACAAATATGAAGTAAAAACGATTCAGCCAGGAGGTCACAGACGACGCGGAGGGGAGCCATTTCATGGAGAAGCAGGGGAGGAAGCCATATTGCAGGTGGTTTAGGAGAGTCTTCATTTCATTTGGACTCAATTTATGAAGTAAGAGTCAGGTGCTGACTACGTGATTTGAAAGATGCAGGAAAGTTTTTACATTGCCTGTTACTGTGCCTAGAAGCCTACATGGTGGCCCAATCAGGAGTAGGACTTTTTCTTCTGTCATCATCTATTAAAGGGGCTCTAGCCCCAACGCTGCCACTGGGAGTTCTATGAAATAGTTCTCCGAACTCCATTTTAAAAGAGAAAAAGATCTTTAGAAAACAGACATATGGCCAAGTGCAGCAGCTCACACCTGCAATCCCAGCACTCTGGGAGGCCAAGATGAGAGAATTGCTTGAGCCCAGAAGTTTAAGAGCAGCCTGGGTGACATAGCAATACCCCATCTCTAAAAAAAAAAAAATACAAAAATTAGCCGGGTATGGTGGTGTATACCTGTAATCCCCTCTACTCAGGAGGCTGAGGTGGGAGGATTGCTTGAGCAAAAGAGGTCGAGGCTCCAGTAAGCTAGGATGGAGCCACTGCACTCCAACCTGGGCAACAGAGTGAGACCCTGTCAAAAAAAAGAAAGAAGAGCTCTTCTGGGGACGTTGTGTGCAGGCACTCAGAATGGTCCAGCGTTTGACATACCGACGTAGGCTTTCCTACAATACTGCCTCTAACAAAACTAGGCTGTCCCGGACCCCTGGTAATAGAATTGTTTACCTTTATACCAAGAAGGTTGGGAAAGCACCAAAATCAGCATGTGGTGTGTGCCTAGGCAGGCTGCGAGGGGTTCGTGCCATAAGACCTAAAGTTCTTATGAGATTGTCCAAAACAAAGAGACATGTCAGCAGGGCCTATGGTGGTTCCATGTGTGCTAAATGTGTTCGTGACAGGATCAAGCGTGCTTTCCTTATCGAGGAGCAGAAAATCGTTGTGAAAGTGTTGAAGGCGCAAGCACAGAGTCAGAAAGCTAAATAAAAAACGAAACTTTAAGTAATAAAAATGAAAAGACTTAAAAAAAAAAAAGAATTCAGCTTATCTTTATTTTGCATACCATCGCAGCTAGTGATATACATAAGAAAGGCTTGTTTGTCCTAGTTGTTTTATTTGTGGGCTTATGATCTGGATTACTAAACAAAGCTTACACATTTGAAATACTTCCATTTTATAGAGAAATACACAATGTATTAGGAGAATAAAGATGTTAAGTCCTAGAGCATAGAGAGAAGNAAAAAAAAAAAAAAGAAAGAAAGAACGAAGGGAGGAAGGAAGCAAGGAAGGAAGGAAAAAAGAAGGGAGGGATGAAGGAAGGAAGGAAGGGGAAGGGAAGAGAGGAAGGAAGGAAGGAAGGAAAAAAGAAAGAAAAGAAAGAGAAAGAAAGGAAGGAAGGAAGGGGGAGGAAGGGAGGAAGGAAGGAAGAAAGGGGAGGGGAAGGGAGGAAGGAAGAAGGGAAGGAAGGGGAGGGGAAGGGAGGGAGGAAGGAGGGAAGGAAGGAAGGAAAGAAGGAAGGAAGGAAAAAGGAAGGGAGGGAGGAAGGAAGGAAGGAGAGAAAAGAAAGGAAAGGAAAGAAGAAAAGGAAAGGAAAGGAGAAAGAGAAAGAAAAAGAAAAGAGGTATACTAACCCTGTCCTGCCTTCTGCACAGGGAGAATGGTGAAAGAGATAAGAGCGCAGGATTTGGACTTGGTCAGACCCAGGCCTTAATCCTGATTTTGCCCCTTACCCCTAGTTAGCTGTGTGACCTTGGCCAAGTTACGTATACCTAGCTTTCTCCTCTGGAAACTAGGGCTAAAAGTATCAGCTTCACTGTGGTTATGATGATTAGCTGAGATATGTAAGGCTACTGGAAGGTAGCAAGCTCTCAGAAGATAACGGATCATTTCATAAATGGTCCAAAATACCTTCTGGAAGATAATGCCTACTAGTATTTTATTCACAGAGTTGCTGGCCAAATAAGAAAATGTACAGAAAAGCAAAATGTAATAGGCCTATTATTAGGATTAAACCACACTATGAGAAAGCTCACACCTTAAACCACAAATTTGCTGGTTTCCTTGACAACTAGATTGTGCTACAGAGCTGGTGGGGAAGGGAGGAAGAGGAGAAGCTGAACTTCAACTGTTGCAGTTTTTCCTGGGGCTGGCCCTTGTTAGAATACTAGACACACTACCATAGAGTGCCACTTGATTCATGTACGCCTGTTGGATAAAAAGAAAAACCATGTGGCTGGTGGAGCTGAGGAAGTGGAAGGGGTAAAGGGAGCAGAACATATATTGCTTGAAATTAGGCAAAAGTGTCATATATCAAAAACCTCATTCTGGCTGACTTCATCACCAAACTTTCTTCCCAGAGGTCTCTGCCGGGGCTTCTGCAGAAAACATAGAAACTTTTCTCTATGCAAAGTAAGAATCCAAAATAGCTTATTTAGAAATAAACCACCTGCTTGTACAAACAGGAAGATCTGAAATCCCTGGAGGTCAGCAAGTCAGTTCCTTGCTTCCCTGCCTATCCCAGCCTCCTCCTGGCCCCCACTACCACAAAGAGGTGGAATTACACTCCATTCTCTTAATTGTATATATTGATGGGATATGGAGTGCTATTTCTATATGTGTATACAGTGAGTAATGATCAAATCAGAGTAATTAGCATATTGCTTCAAACACCATTTCTTTGTGTTGTGAACATTCAAAATCATCTCGTAGCTTTTCGAGAATATACAATAAATTATAGTTAACCACATTTGCCCTACAGTGCTGCTGCAAAGCACCAGAACTCTCACCCTCCTTCCCTTCCTCCTCCACCCTTCCCAACCTCGAACACTCACAATTCTACTCTCTACTTCCATGGGCTCAAAAAATTTATTTTATCTCCCACGTGATGGAGATCACGCAGTATTTGTCTTTCTGTGCTTGGTGTATTTCACTTAACATAATGTCCTCCAGGCTCATCTATGCCACAATGACAGGATTTCCTTCTTTTTCATTCCAGTCCCTTTTCTTTGTTCCTTCTCAAAGGAACACATCAATAAAGGTACCTACTGGTGGCCAAAGGGGGCCCCCTGATGCCACCACCCCATTCCCTACTCTTTATCCCATCCATTTATTTTATCCTTATTCCTGTCAGAGACTAAACACAGACAGGGGAATGAGTTTTCACTGTGGATTACTTAATTTTTTCAGGTCACAGTGTTCTAATCAGCAATCATCCATCTTCCTGTTATCTCATTCTGTGAGGCCAGGAATTTAAAGCCTGTTCAATTTCAAGGTCAGGCTGTCTTCTGCAGCTGGAGGCATCCCCAGCAGGCTGAGGCTTCACTCTCTTGGTTGGTGTCAGGGACCCCTAGGGAGTGGACAGAATGACATGTGGGCCAGTGTGACCAGCCTTGCCACCGATTCCACAGGTGGCACCGCTGGCTGAGTCAGTCTGCTAAGAAGGACATCTCTGGAACCGGTCAGAGAAGGCTTAGTAAATCTTTCTGATTGCTAGCCTCTGAGACCCCACAGCCTATAATTTTCCAAGACAGACCTGTTATTTATTACAAGCACTCAACCTAATAATCACTGCCCAAGCCCAGGTGTCCTGAGGACATAGGGTGTAAGCTTGCATTGAAAAAGGAAAATAAGGAGGTGTTTGCCCAGCGAAGACTTTCTTTAGAGCAGATAACATGTGCACATTGTACTGCTTCCTCCGTCTTCCCACAGCACCTACCAAAGTCCTGGCAAGGCACCAAATTAGGCTTTATAGGTGGCTGCCCTTTCTGTAGGCTATGGTCAAATTTTTCTAAAAGAGTATTTGATTTCATTCAATTCAACACAGTGAGTTTATACATTGATTTTAGCATTTATTCTATGCTTGGCAATGTGCGGATGAGGCATGAATTAAAATATCAGGTCAGCATACACTTGACAGAGTTGTAGAAATGAGAACCTTTACTTTTTTCTTTTTTCGAGATGGCACTTCACTCTTGTTGCCCAAGCTAGAGTGCAATGGTGTGATCACGGCTCACTGCAACCTCCACTTCCCGGGTTCAAGAGATTCTCCTGCCTCAGCCTCCCAAGTAGCTGGGATTACAGGTATGTGCCACCACATCTGGCTAATTTTTTTGTATTTTTAGTAGAAATATGGTTTCACCATGTTAGCCAGGCTGGTCATGAACTCCTGACCTCTCGTGATCCACCTGCCTCGGCCTCCCAAAGTGCTGGAATTACAGGCGTGAGCCACCGCGCCTAGCTGAGAACCTTTACTTTTTTACAGTGACGACTGAGGAAGCTGACAAGAATGCTTTTGGTTTTCCTCCTCTCTACCCCAGACTCTCCCAAGGCCATACTTTTTTTTTCTCTCTCTTTCTTGCTTTGGGGAAAGGAAAATTGAAATTTTTTATCTAAAGCTTTTTCCTAGAATTTGAACCTCACAGGGAACATTGCTTCATCATCAACATTTTCTTTGATTTTCAACCTCTTTCCACCTGCTCTAGAAACATGTTTGAATCTAATCCACCCCTACTATTCTTTCTCTTCCTTAATTTCTTCCTGGGATAGAGTTTTTCATCTTTTGCTCATGCAATTAATCATTCATTCATTAATTTAACAAATATTTAGAGATGAACACGATGAGCAAGGCCCTTTCCTAGGCTGGAGACAAAAATGAATAAAGCCTTCCTGTTCCTTTAACGAAGCAGTCCCCAACCTTTTCTGGCACCAGGAGCTCGTTTTGTAGAAGAAATTTTTTCCAGGGGCTAGGGTGAAGGGGGGGCTTGGGGTTGATTCAAGCACATTACATTTATTGTGCACTTTATTTCTATTATTATTACACTGTAATATATAATGAAATAATTATACAACTCACCATACTGTAGAATCAGTGGGAGGCCTCAGCTTGTTTTGATGCAACTAGATGGTCCTATCTGGGGGTGATAGGAGACAGTGACAGATCATCAGGCATTAGATTCTTATAAGGAGAGTACAACCTAGTTCCCTCACATGCACAGTTTATAATGAGGTGGTGCTCCTATGAGAATGTAATGCTGCTGCTGATCTAGCAGGGGGTGGAGCTCAGGCACTAAGGCAAGAGATGGGGAGTGGCTGTAAATACATATGAAGCTTTGCTTACCCACCTGCCACTCACCTTCTGCTGTGCAGCCCAGGTCCCAACAGGTTACAGACCAGTACCGGTCCATGGCCCAGAGGTTGGGGACCCCTGATTTAAGGAGCCCACTTTGTGGTTGGGGAGACACATTTAAACAGGTGAATACTGATGTCCCCTTTCTCTTTTCATTGTTGTCAAGCTTCCGGGAAGCTTGGCCCTCAATGCCTTTGGCCCTTGCTGCTCTTCTAAATGGTCATTATGTAAGTCACCTGTGGTTTCCTGATTGCCAAATGCTCCAGCCCCATCCTGGTGATCCCTCACCCCAGCCCTCTTGCTGAATTTGACTCTCTGCTGTACTCTTGTCCCAACATGGGGTGTTTTTTTTTGTTGTTATTTTTTGGTTTGTTTGTTTGTTTTTTGAGACAGAGTTTTGCTCCTTGCCCAGGCTGGAGTGCAATGGTACAATCTCGGCTCACAGCAACCTCCGCCTCCAGGTTCAAGTGATTCTCCTGCCTCAGCCTCCCTAGTAGCTGAGATTACAGGCATGCACCACCACACCCAGCTAATTTTATATTTTTAGTAGAGACAGGGTTTCTCCATGTTGATCATTCCTACCTGCAAGAAGCTTATAGTTTCATAAGAGAAAAGTAAGTAGGTAATGACAACACAGTGCCATTGGAACTACAGGAAGGAGCTGTACCACATGCTGTTAAAGCCTACAGAAGGGACAATCTAAGTTGGTGTCATGGAAGGCTTTCCAGAGTGTATGATCTACATGGAGACCCAAAAGACACAGAGCCAAGCAGTGATAAGGGGAGGGGTGAAGAATGTTTCGTGCAGTGAGAAATAGTAAGCAAAGGCTTAGAGAAAATAGCACATGGCATTTTTGGAGACCTGTGAGGAGTGTAATAGCATTCTAGGGAGAAGGTCCTTCAAGAATCCA